GAAAACAGCTGGATTAAAAATGTCAAGACAAGCGACGGAAATAACATAGTTGTTCTCATAGATATAATATAATATGATATCAGGAGTGAATAATAATTCTTGATGATATCCATTCTTGTTCTTAGACGATGGCGATGTCAATAAATATTTTGAAATACAACTTTTGTAAAGTTTACTATTAATAAATCAGATATTATTTATACAAAGCAGCATAGTATCTAGTTTTTTCTCAGAATATGTTCATAACTTTGCAAATGAAATTCAACCGTTTAAAATTTTTGAGCATCTTTCACCGCCAGATGTCGCGAAAAATTGGAGGGCAAAAGCCGAAAAATAAGGTTTCGTGCGCTTACTCTTGGACCTTTCCAAGTGAGTAAATCTATACATAGGAACATTTATATGTTTGCGATTGTAGTGTTCGTGACTATGTCTGTCGTGCCTTTACATATTATAATACTATGTTCCTATTTTAGAATGGGTGGTGGCCACCATCAAGAAATTAAGGTCCCGGACTGGAGGATATACAAGGTCGCAGATGCTCCTAAACTCGCCGAAGTCGAGCAGATGCTTGCAAGCAAAGGCTTAAAAGATCCATGGCTTAGGTAACTATAGAGGGTTTCGCGACTTGGACTAAAAATAGCAATATTACCTACAATCCACATGCAATGCACATTTGCCAACTGTCTGAAGTGTACGTAGTATGGACAAGTACTTTGATTCACTAGACAACGTAGCCAAAGCACGCTATCTCGAGAAAATTGCGTGCGTTGGGAATTGACACCCTTACGAGAATGGAGCGAGGACCACAACTTGTGCCCATCACATGCTTATTAGGATCTCGTGAATGGACTGCCTAACATTCTAGCCGAGTCCATTTTATACTCAAGGACTTTCAGACCCACAAAAGTCTGGATGCCTACGATCAACTGTTCTGTGGTTGGGTTAGTGGTGTATCAGTCTACATCTATCATGTGAACAGTGAGAGTCCCATCTACGTTATCCGAGCATGTGTTATGCACTCCCAGTCTCTGATTATACCATCTCTCTATCCGTGCATGAGTCACGATAAGATAAATGGGACAGGCATCATGTCAGCACACTGTAATTGTAAAGCCGGGCTTGTAGTCCAGTCAATATATGAAAATTATTGGCCTACCTGGAACAAATTGCAACAGTAGGTTTTATTGTTGGAAGTTTTTGATTAGACCTTCCTAAACTTCATATGCAAAATCGGCCAAAATCGGACCACGGGAAACTGGCTAATTAGCATAAATCCAAAATGGCCGCCATTTTCAAGTTTGAGGCTAGTTTGTCCTAGATAGTACAGGAGCTAAGAGCCAAAAATCAAATGAATGTTGTGCATTTTTTGTGATTGTAATGGGTTTCTTGACCCCGATAATGTTGGTTTTAGACACCAAAATCTTGTTTCTATGTTGAAAATTAGCTGAAAAATGTAAGATAATGGATTTTGATGGTGGCCATTTTAAAATTCAAGATGGCGCCCAGATACCATGCCGATGGAGATGAGTACCCGATCTCATATGAATATACATATCTTAAACTACCTTTATGCCACTTTTCATGCTTTTGTCAAAAAATGCACAACATTCATTTGATTTTTGGCTCTTAGCTCCTGTACTATCTAGGACAAACTAGCCTCAAACTTAAAAATGGCGGCCATTTTGGATTTACGCTAATTAGCCAGTTTCCCGTAGTCCGATTTTGGCCGATTTTGCATATGAAGTTTAGGAGGGTTTAATCAACAACTTCCAACAATAAAACCTACTGTTGCAATTTGTTCCGAGTATTTCATATATTGACTGGACTATTGGTGAATTCTGTTCACATGTTGCCTCGGTGCTATTTTATGAAGAGTATGCTGCACGTGCAAGAGAAATCGCCACCCCCACTCAAACAGCTGCCTACTTGATGCCGGCGATATAGCATTATGTATATAAGTGTAAATGTGTAGCGGCGTGCGCCGTGCGTGCTGTGTACCTGTGTGTTGCAGAGGAGCATTTGACCGCCATTTACAGGTAATTATCGGCAATACTAGGCGAAAGGGAGTAGAGAAACATTAAGACATTGGTAGTAAATACATTTCGTGTTTATTCAGCATTGCTTTTTTATTGAAAATGCTCCAAGCGTCTGTGGTCCGCCTTGTCTCTCGTCACTTTAGCTTGTGTTGTGATCACGCTAGGCAGCCTAAAAAAGCTGTGTGGCTCTCTCTGATACCGATTGCTGCAGTTGGCAACACCGCAGGCGAGCGGCGTTGTGATGGATTTCCTTAATAATAAACATTTTAGCCTATTTGGGTTTGGTCTAACCTTAATAGGCGAATAAAATGAGCAGAGAACAGTGCGTTGCTCAACGTACTTGTACCATGCCTGAACTGGTTTCTGTAATCGTCATGGCCGGCGGTGTTGCATTGTGGGTAATATGAAAAATCGCGGAACCTTCTACGAACTATAGTACTAGTACTACTACTGATAACTAGCTTCGCTGTGCCATAGGGCTATGCAGCAATGTGTGTGCGGAACCAGCAACAAATCTGACACAGCTAGTGTGTAAGGTTTGACTTTCAGCTACAAACATTAATCAATTATTAGTACATGAATAAAATAAACAACCAAATTAAAAGGGAAATTCCAGTCCATTGTCGGTGCCATGTCTTTGCCTGGCATTAAAGTCTACTGTCAGTCGATATCCTATTCTACTATTCTAGTCGAATCGAGCTGGTCGTGAATGGTGCCAAATGAATGGTTTTCATTCGCTTTGTCTCACAAACCAGCATATAACGCAGTAAACAGACAGCTCCAAGTTACTGTCAGCAAGGCTCAAGGGGTCGTTGTCGTATCAGGTACTACAGATATGTACCCGGGGTAGTTTTAGGTTGTTTAGTATTATGTTTATATTTTTA